CACCACGAGGAAGTTGAAGCGGTCTTCGGCTGACTCCAACTCCTTGTGAAGGGTGAGGACACAGTGTTCAGAGTTCAGGGTTCAGGGTTTTGGGTTTAGGGTTTAGGGCTTAGGGCTTAGGGTTTAGGGTTTAGGGTTTAGGGGGCTTCTGGGGGCGTCTTGTGAATACACCTTTGTTGGAATCTCTGGTTTGGCCTTGCCTGAGTGTTGGCATTATCTTGGTTCATGTAAAGCCCTTGGCTATCAGGTGTTTCGCGGGAGATGAAAGTGACTGACTGAGGGTCTACTTGAAGGTTCTGGAGTACTTACACCCTAGAATCCCCGAAAGCCCTAAACCCTAAACCGTATCCCACAAACCAATATGTCAGCCCACAGTTACCCCTAACCCTACTTCGACATACCCATGACGCTTCCAGAGGGGTTTGGGGCGAAGTATACATACATAGATACATACATACATACATACATACATACATACATACATACATACATACATACATACATACATACATACTACCCATGACGCTTCCAGAGGGGTTTGGGGCGAAGTATACATACATACATACATACATACATACATGCATACATGCATGCATGCATGCATGCATGCATGCATGTACGTACACGCGTACATATATATCTACGGAATTATGTATGTGTGTATAGATATACACATGCATACCTATCTATATACATATATCTACATATATATGTATATATGTGTATAAAGAGAGAGAGAGAGAGAGAGTGCGAGATACATAGACATAGATGTAGATATAGAGGTAGCGAAGAACCTCCCTGCGGCTCGAGGGCTGAGACCCGCTTGAAGCCGCGCAACAGCACCTGGGCGCCCCCCAAGAGCCGCAGGTTTTGTCAAGGTTTTAATATTCATAGGTAGAGAAGGTCAAGGTCTTGGAGGTTTGAGGGAGTTAGAGTTAAGAAGCTTAGGGGTTTGGGTGCCTTCTTCTGAGGCGAAATACTACAAAAACGCATCGTGTGAGAGGCAAGGGAACAGACGACACGCCTGGATGAGCTAGTGAGCCCTACTGAACTGGTGATGGATGCACACGCGACAAATGAATGTTAGGGCGTCTATTTCTCTCTCTTTATACGCCCGTATTAATACTACTAAAAGGGCATACAATTTTATCATTAAAATGTAAAGAGTGAAACGATGCACGATTTTAATTAATAAAATTTGCCCTTTTTCCCCGGGCTTCTAATAAGATATAATATTTGCCCGGGTGAATAGTACTAAATCTGTGTACAACCAACACACCCAGACAGACGTACCATCTTGACTTAGAAACCGTACCATCATGAGTCTTTCTACGTGACAGGCGTTCACCCTAATGGACGCACTGGTGCACCCCCAGCACTACGAACTGTATCTCGCCGTCACCTGCAGCAACGCAGGGGGCATAACAATGTGACCGGCGCCTGGGAGCAAAGCCATCTGAGCACCATAAACCCTTGCATAACCCGGTAGGGTTTAGGGCTAAGGGGATTGTCACAGTCCTACAAACCCTAAACTCCTAAAACCCCCCAAGCCCCAACACCATCAGACCGCGCTACACCCTAAACCCTAAACCCTCAACCCTCAACCCTCAACCCTCAACCCTGCTTGTTCAGACTGGTAGGTCCCTGGCGTTTGCGCATCGGTCCCACTGCTCATCAGTAGAATACGCCTCAGGGCCAGAATGCTAGGAGGTTCGCAGGTATTTCTGGTGCCCTATCTAGAGTTAGAAGCACATGTCACGAGAAGCACTTTTATCAAAACTAAGCCCTTGTAACCCTCAACGCTTTTGATCCTAGACTTTCAAAGCCACCGGGCCAAGACACCTCCCCCCCCCCCCCCCCGGCCCGCCAGGAAAAAAAAGCCAAGAGCTCACCTTGCCCAGCTCGAAGATCAAGGTCATATTGTAGGGATCCTCAAGGTACGCTGGTGGAGGGCACCACGCACTCAGGGTGCTCTCAAGAGAGCGTCTCTAGCAGCTACGATCGCTTCCGCTCTCCTGCCCTCTCCCTCCTCTTTCCGCCCTCTCGCCTCCCTCCCACTTCTTCCCTCTTGACGCTTCAGTTTAAGGCTTTAGGGCTTTCAGTTTAAGGGTTTCAGTCTTCGGGTTTTCGAGGTCTAAGCAGACCCCTCAACCCCCCCCCCCCGGGGGGGTCTCCTTCGCCAGTTCGTCCTTGAACTTCTTTGCCTCGTTCGATGTACCAGGCTTCGGATTCCTCGGGAAGCAGCAGCCGCTCTGACTTGCTCAAGGGGGCATCAGACGACTATTGTGATTGCTATGATTACAACTGATATGACTCTTACTACTGGTATTACTCTATTTCTAGTGCTGTGATTATTGCTAGTACTGGGTACTTCCATGGGCGTTCTGACCACTAGCATTCTGGGTATGATTATTGTAGCTTTCTGCTAGGTAAGAAAGAATTGGAACTGGGAGCCCCTTAAAGCCCAGAGACGTTCAAAGCGGGCCAGAAAACCCACCCCGGAAACCGACCCTAAACCCTAGACCCTAGACCCTAAACCCCTAAACCCTAAACCCCTAGACCCTAAACCCTGAACCCCTGGACCCCAAGCCCTAAACCCCCTACACCCTAAACCCCTAAACCCCTCTAAACCCCCCTAGACCCCTAAACCCCAAAACCCCTAAACCCCAACCTCAACATCCCGGAGTTCAACCTCGAAACCCGCGCAACCGCGTGAGACAACCAAGCGGCGGCTTCATCTGCTCGAGGAGGGACCTTGCAAGGTTGTACTTAGGGTTTAGGTTTTAGGGTTTAGGGTTCAGGGTCTAGGGTTTAGGGTTTTAGGGTTTGGGGTTTGGGGTTTGGGGTTTGGGGTTTAGGGTTTAGGGTTTAAAGTTTAGGGTTTAGGGTTTAGGGTTTAGGGCCGAGGGTCTAAGCAAACCCCTACAGCAAGCCCTACAGTTGGGAATGGCTCCCCCTCAGCCAACTCAAAGTCCAAGTGGCGAGAGCTTCTCCTCGACCTCTTTCCTCTGGCTGGGGGTCATCTCTGTCTTCGCCACGGTGGCCTGGGTGCAAAATGTAAGATCGCCACTCTAAACCCTAAACCCCAAACCCTAAACCCTCAAGCCCTAAACCCCAAACCCTAAACCCCAAACCCTAAACCCCAAACCCTAAACCCTAGACCCCAACCCTAAACCCCTCAGGTCTTCGAAGCTGAGCGCTTGAGCGCCTGACTAAGAACAGACTTCTTGGAGATGCGCGGGTTTGCAGCCCGTGCTGACGGCCCTGCTTCATCTGCCAGACCCTTAACACTCTCCTTTTGGGGTTCGACTCTTTGGTAGAGTATGACAAAAACACATTATAATATGTAATATACATGTGTATATATATATATATATTTATATACATACATATCATATGTTTACTTATGTACCTATTCTTGCTAATATTATTATTCTTGGTATTTCTCACAATATGTGCTTTGACCCCCTTTTTGGCTAATAGGGCTCTTTGTAGCCGCGCTGCGCCGTCATCCTGCAGGCTCTCAGCCGCCTTGTCGCCCTTGCGCTGCCGCAGCTCCGACATGGCGCGGAGCAAGCACCAAGCGAGAGGCCCTCCCCCCCTGAGAAGTTTCTGAGGCCCCTGAAGCCCTACGCCCTAAACCCTAGAGACCCTAAACCCTAAACCCTAAACCCGAAACCCTAAACCCTAAACCCTAAACCCTGAACCCTAGCCGAAGCGATGAAGTCCCGAGTGTCACAGCGCACTTCAGATGTGCCTTGTCATGCCAGCAGCGAGTTCTGACTACTACTGCTACGACCAAGCATGGGGGTAGCTTTGAAGGAGGCCGAAGATCCCCCTAAGCCCTAAGCCCTAAGCCCTAAACCCTAAACCCTAAACCCATCTTCGTAGCCTCAACGTGGGTTGGGCTAGCTGTGACCTCTGCCTTGACATCTCTGCCTCGACGGGATCTATCTCTGGCTGTGAGCCACTCGGCTGTCGTCCCTCTACAAAACCAAATGGCAAAAATATTTCCCCTTGTCTGCTGTCCTAAACCCTAAACCCTAAACCCTAGTTATGCTTTCCCCTTGTTTGGTCGTCGTCTTTATCTTGGGGACCCCAGAGTTTGGGGATGCATGCCGCGTCCGTGTCCGTCACAGGTTGGAAGTTTGGGGCTTTCGGGTTTAGGGTTTAGGGTTTAGGGTTTAGGGTTTAGGGTTTAGGGTTTAGGGTTTAGGGTTTAGGGTTTAGGGGGATTCGGGTTTGTTCGGTTTCGGGGTTAGGGCTTATAGGAGCCCAGGGCTTCAGGACTTTTAGAGCTTCCCGGGCACAAGGGTCCGATGACAACTACCCCTACGCGTATCTAGATACGTACAAACTGGCGACAGCAACATGTGCTTATAATCATAGTAGTCATAGTAGGCAGATGGCGCAATGCTCATAATGACCGTGGCCAGAATAGCTAATGATCAGAGAAACCCACATGCCCGGTTAATAGCATAATCATAATCAATCACCAGAAGCATACAGATCGCAAGAACCATCAGATTCGTATCCGTCGTAAGTCGCAATGCTCGTAAACATCAGAATATTCAGAATGTTAATCATAAGAATAACCATGGAACCCACAAAACCGTAATCATGCCCATAATATTCATCACCATTGTCATTGTCATTGCCGCCATCATCATCACCATCACCACCACGATCACCATGATCCTCATCATCATCGTCATCACCATCATCATCATCATCATCATCATCGTCACCACCAGCACAAAACGAAGAAGAATAAGGAAGGTGATCATAATATGGCCACTTGTTTTGTACAATGGTCCTTTGTTTCGGTTGCCACTCTAATGCGGCCCCCTAATTTTTAGGGCCACCCCAAAAAGGGGACCATCATGTTAAGAGAACTGGCCTTATGAAGGTGAGAAGACGGCAAAACCCCCCTCTCCCCCAGCCTCCCCTAAACCCAAAACCCTAAACCCCAAATATGCCCCTGAGAGGCCCTCCCGGGCCTGCGCCCAGTAGATGTTCTTCAGGAGGTCGCGCTGGCTGCCTTGCGGAACCGGTGCTGGGAGGTTCATTTGGGGCAGATGTAGGTGGGCTTAGGAGGTCGCGTAACCTTGCTTCGCGGACTTGTAATTTCAGGCTGCTTGGGGTGATTCAAAGTGGTATAGGTTGCTTTAAGGGTGATTTCAGCTCTTCTTAGTGTAGCTTGCGGGGGGAACTCATGTTGATTTTCGGGCTCAGGCTTCTACGTTGTGATGTCGGTCTGAGGCGTAGATTCCACCCTATACTATACGTCGTAAACTATAGGCTCCATGCACAAACAAACCCCTATGAACCCCAGAAATCCCACAAAACCCCAAACCCTCCCATCAAACCCTAACACCTGAAACCCCACAAGCCCTAAACCCTAAACCCTAAACCCGAAACCCTAAACCCTAAACCCTAAACCCGAAACAGAACACAGTGAGGCCCCGCGCTCTGCGCGACCTCGCGCTGGAGGCCGGGCGAGATGGTGTTGCGCAGAAGGCTCTCCTGGATAGCCGGGTTTAGGGATTAAACGGTTTAAACGGTTTAAATGGTTTAAACGGTTTAAACGGCTCAAACGGTTTAAACTGTTTGAACGGTTTAAACGGTTTAAACGGTTTAAACGGTTTAAACGGTTTAAACGGTTTAAACGGTTTAAACGGTTTAAACGGTTTTAACGGTTTAAACGGTTTTAACGGTTTAAACGGTTTAAAATTTAAACGGTTTAAACGGTTTTAAAACGGTTTAAACGGTTTAAACGGTTTAAACGGTTTAAACGGTTTAAACGGTTTAAACGGTTTAAACGGTTTAAACGGTTTAAACGGTTTAAACGGTTTAAACGGTTTAAACGGTTTAAACGGTTTAAACGGTTTTAACGGTTTAAACGGTTTAAAATTTAAACGGTTTAAACGGTTTAAAACGGTTTAAACGGTTTAAACGGTTTAAACGGTTTAAACGGTTTAAACGGTTTAAACGGTTTAAACGGTTTAAACGGTTTAAACGGTTTAAACGGTTTAGGGTTGAGGGTTTAGGGTTTAGGGTTTAGGGTTTAGGGTTTAGGGTTTTAACGGTTTAGGGTTTAGGGTTTAGGGTTTAGGGTTTAGGGTTTAGGGTTTAGGGTTTAGGGTTTAGGGTTTGGGGTTTGGGGTTTGGGGTTTAGGGGTTCTATCACCGGGGAGGCAGGGCGTCCGCTGCCATTTCGGGCTTATAGGGATTAGGGTTGAGGGTGCTTAGGATTTAGGGTCGAGATAAACAAGCTAGAATCAAACCTTACGAGCCACGTGGAGGCCCTTGCGGCTCTAAACAGCAAAAGCCCCCCATTGAAGGCCCATTACCCTAAACCCTAAACCCTAAACCCTGAACCCTAAACCCAACCCTAAACCCTAAACCCCTCCCCCGCCCAAGGGTCTCCTGGGAGGCTTGCTGCTGCGCCACGATGCACTCGTGCATGTACTTTCGCATGCGGACCTCCGCTTTCGGGTTTAGGGTTTCAGGGCTTTTAGGTCTTTAGGGTTTCAAGGTTTTAGGGTTTTAGGGTTTAGGGTTCAAGGTTTTAAAGGCATAGGGTTTAGGGTTCCCTTGACCCTAACCCCCCCTACTGAAGCTTCGAACAACTGCGGACACCCCCCAAAAAATTGAGAGAGAGAGAGAGAGCTAAACCCTAAACCCTAAACCCTAAACCCTAAACCCCCCCTTCCCAAGCGGCCCGGAGCTCTTGGTCGATCGCCCTGGATTCCATCATGTCGTTCCTGGGCGCAGCTCGCGCACTTCCCCCGCGACACAACACAAGAGGAAGGTAAGAGGTCATATTAGGGTTTAGGGTTTAGGGTTTAGGGCTTAGGGTTTAGGGTTTAGGGTTTAGGGTTTAAGGTTCAGGGACCATGTAACTTCCCTTAGATAGCGCACACCCCCCCCCCACCTTCTTTGAGGTTCATGGCACTTATTAACCAACTAGAACTGTACCTACAACCCACTTATAAGCCCCTTCAGTGCCCCAGTTTAGCCCTAATATGGTGAGAAGTACAGTTCTGAGCACAGTGATAATTGGAGAATGAGGACCCTGAGAGGGCCAAAAACAGCCCCCCCAACCCTAAACCCTAAACCCTAAACCCTAAACCCTAAACCCTAAACCCTGAACCCTACTTTGCTCACAGGAAGCGGGCGAAGGGAGCCAAGGCTCAAGTCGTCCATGTTGCGCTTGAAGGCGGCCTCGGCTTTTTCCTAGTATGCCTTAAGCGCCCTAGGGGTTTAGGGTTTAGGGTTTAGGGCTTAGGGTTTAGGGTTTAGGGTTTAGGGTTTAGGGTTTTGGGTTTAGGCTTTAGGGTTTAGGGTTTAGGGTTTAGGGTTTAGGGTTTAGGGTTTAGGGCTAGCTCCCGTAACCCTGAAGTCCCTAAGCCCCAATACATTCCCTCAACCCTCTGAGGATTCTCGGAGTGGGGGGCGCGTGTTTTGAGCTTCAGGGCCCCAGAGATCAAAGGGTTGAAAGGTTTAACAAGGGGTTTGGGGCTTCAGAGCTTTAAATCTTCCGATGGGGGAGGCAACCCCAAACCCCAAACCCAAAACCCAAACCCTAAACCCCAAAGCCTAAACCCTAAACCCTAAACCCTCAACCCTAAACCCTGAACCCAAACCCAAAATTCCTCCCCAAGCTCCCCCAGGAGGCCCAAAAAAAGCTGCCGCGCGGCATTGGAGTCCATGTTGTGGATCAGGGACACCACGGAACCTGAGGCTCTGCTTAGGGTTTAGGGTTTAGGGTTTAGGGTTTAGGGTTTAGGGTTTAGGGTTTAGGGTTTAAGGTTTAGGGTTTAGGGTTTAGGTTTAGGGTTTAGGGATTGAGGGTTTAGGGTTTAGGGATTCTAGGTTTGGGGTTTAGGGATTTAGGGTTTGGGGTTTAGGGTCTCCAATCTCGGGGCCTCTGTCTTGGCTTTTCGACTTGAAGGTTCTTTTCTATTGTGTAGCTTCTTAATTGTAGTATTTTGCTTGTACATAGGGCTGAGGGCTGTTAGGGTTCATAAAGTTTAGGGGTTGATGAAAAGCATAAGTTTGGCAGTTATTTTGGGCACGAGCCCTAAACCCAAACATCACTCAGACGCGCACCGACAATGTATGCCCAGACGAAGCCGGAGACCAGCATTGTGAGCGTGCACACCTCAGGGCGCTGCTTGGATTTAACCCCTGCAAGAGCTATAAATCTACATATATATATATATAAGTATATAAGTATACATACGTATAAAAATGCTATGTGTATATATATACATATACAAATATATACGTATATATATATATATGTATGTATGTATGTATGGATGTATGTATGTATGCATACGTAAAAAAACTACTATGTGCATGTGTGTATGTGTATATATACATGTATGTATGTATGTATGTATGTATGTATGTATGTATGTATGTATGTATGTATGTATGTATGTATGTATGTATGTATATTTGTTTAATGGGGTTTAGGGTTCCGGGTTCAGGCTTAGCCGAAGCTGATTATGCCAAGCGGCGAGGTACTCCGCCGGGTTCTGCGGCGTCACCTGTCCACACCCGCACGTCTGGAGTAGAGAGTTCAGCGGATGTGCGTGCTTTGTAGCTTCAGAAGCTTGCGGGTCCTGACACGGTTCTGCCTGCATCCTCTCAGACGTGAAGGCTTCACTCTTCACACCTAGCTTCCCTTCCCGGGTTTCGGCTCGACGGCTGTCTGGGGCTCGGGCATCGCCGTAGCCGACCTCCGTTGCTTAGGAAGATTCAGGCGGTGGGGGGTATGTCTCTCGACTACGTGCAATTGGTTAAGCCCTAAACCCTAAACCTTAAACCCTAAACCTTATAAACCCAAATCTCTATGAGGGGTACTCAGGACTTCATCTCCGCACCAGGCCATGGCCAACATCAAGATGAATCCAGCGCCAGGGGGCCGTCGTGAGCGTCATGGTGGCCCAGTAGAGGGCCATGAAGTAGACGCAGTTCGGATCCTCGCGGCCCCACTCAAAGGCTTGGGATGGCTTGGGGCTTCGGATTCTCCAAGCCCAACACTTTTTGGAGCCTGGCCTCCATTCCCCCCTAGACCCTGAACCCTAAACTCCAAACCCTAAACCCTAAACTCTAAACCCTGAACTCTGAACCCTCAACCCTCAACCCTAAACTCTAAACCCTGAACCCTAAAAACGAATAAGAAAAACAAACTCCCGGCGGCACCGAAGACATGGACAAAAGAACTCCAAGGCTCCTTTCTGGCAGAGGGACTGCAAGGATCGCCCTGACAGGTGACAGGCCCTCGCTTTCTGTGCTCAGGGAACTTCTCGGGTGACCCTCAACCCTCAAGGGATTAAAGGAAGGACCCTTATAAGGGGCCTTAGGGGTTGTATAGGGACTATATCGGGGAATAAGATTGATGGTCCCTTCGTGAACGCTAAGCCCGAAACCCGAAACCCTAAACCCAGCTATCCCCCCCATCCCTGATCCAAGCCCAAAGCTTAACAGACCTTTGCAGTTCAGGGTTCAGGGCTTAGGGTTTCGGGTTTAGGGTGGCTGTCCTTCTTGAAAAGGCCCCCATGCACCAAAAGGGACCAAATTTCAAGTAACTGCGGTCCATGCGGGTGCTTGCTTGCTGGATGCTATCTTCCTTGGCGGCGTGTGGCTGCGTGGCATGAGCTGCACCTCTCAACTCCAAGATTGCAAAGTCCCAGGTGGCAAGCGCAAGGAAGGACGTTGATGTGAAAGTTCCAATCATGTCCGTATTATCCTTAACTACCCAAACCCCCCCCCCCGAAAACCCTGAACCCTGCACCCAAAACCGCTGTAAGCCCCAAGGCCCTAAACCCTGAAGCCCCTAAACCCTAAGCCCTAAAACCCTGAAACCCTTCGCTTAACCCTTAACCCTGAACCCTCAACCCTTAACCCTTAACCCTAAACCCCCCTCTCAAGGAAACAGAGCTTGCCTTGGTGTCGATCAGAGCCGAAAGCCTCCGGTGTCGGTGTGGGTGCGGGGGGGGGGGGTGGTTTAGGGTTTAGGGTTGAGGGTTTCGGGTTTAGGGATCCAGTTTAGGGCCCAGGGCTTAGGGCCTAGGGTTTAGTGTTTAGGGTTTAATGTCGGATTTTGCATCTGCTCTCGCCGGCAAGCAGCCAGCTGCTCCCCTTGGTGTGGTAGCTGAGCTCCCCATACCTCGGCGAGGCCCCTTTCTCCCCAACTCACTGGCGACGAAATTCCAGGTTGCGTTGGGGGTTTAGGGTTTAGGGTTTAGGGTTTAGGGTTTAGGGTTTAGGGTTTAGGGTTTAGGGTTTAGGGTTTAGGGTTTAGGGTTTAGGGTTTAGGGTTTAGGGTTTCGGGTTTAGGGTTTAGGGTTTAGGGAGTTACGGCCCCTTGTTGGGTCCCGAGGGTGCCGTGTTGTCTATGAGGAGACCCTGATATAGAGAAAAGCTCAGAACCCTAAACCCTAAACCCTAAACCTTAAACCCTCAACCCTCAACCCTAAACCCTAAACCCTAGCCCTTCAGCCCGAAATCCCCGAAGTTTTCGAGGCTAGATGCGTGACGGTGCCTTCGATCGCGATCCACATGCACGCGAACCTCGGCTCAAGCTCCGGGATGTTTCGGGGGTTTAGGGTTTAGGGTTTAGGGTTTAGGGTTTAGGGTTTAGGGTTTAGGGTTTAGGGTTTAGGGTTTAGGGTTTAGGGTTTAGGGTATGGGGTTAAGGGTTCAGGGTTAAGGGTTAAGAGTTTAGGGTTTGGGTTTGGGGCTTTGGGTTTAGGGTTGAGGGCAGCACAACTTGCAGGCTTCAGTACGAAGCAAGACTACTGCTAAGATTCGGGTCGGAGCATTTCATCCTACGTAGGATAAGGGGGACCCTTGAAGAACCCTCTTGTGGCTCTCTTAAAATAGGGACCTTATTCAGAGGGTCTGTGTTCCCAGGGGTCCCCCGAATCCTATCCCTATTTCAGGCTTAGGGTATTCGGGTCCACCTCGAACAGAAGGAACCCCCCTCAAGAGGTGATGCGACAATCACAGGTTGCATACTTCGGGGGGTTTGGGGGCTTGGCAAGTAACTAAGAAGCTGCGTGGTCCAAGGCACCAGTGGGCGCAAAGCGTGGTGATGATGATGAACTTGACCATGTCTATCAGGTAATAGGAGAACCTGAGAAGGGTGGACTCTCCTGCAGGTCTTCACATTCCTGAATAGAGTTTGGGGGGGCATGTTCGGGTTCATAAGACCCTGGTAGCTCTTACAGCCAATGGAGAGGAGATGACGCCTAAAGTCCCATCACCGCCACAGGGCTATGGGCATGGTCACCAAACCGGCCGGCCACGCCATTGCAAAGGGGGCAAGGGGGGGCAGGCCACATGTGTCTCAGCAACCACCGCTTGGGACAGCAGGCTAGAATGCTCCTGGGCGCTCCAGGAACTCGACTCTGATCTCCGAGCTGGAACAGCAAGTTGGCACGCTTTCTAGTCGGAGAAGATGGGCGACCCTCCGATTCTCCAAGCAAGGAAGACCATGTACATGAATCGAAGCGGACATTCACCAAGGAGCACAGAACACGGAACAATGACCAAGATTAAAAAAAGGCCCTCTTTCTTCATAATTCGTGCGCTAGGCGTTGGGGTCCAGGGGGCTTTCGGGACTGTGGACCCTAACCCAAAAAATCCTCAACCCTATTGAACCCTCCAACCCAAGAAAGCTGACAAGAGAGTAGCTTGGCCTCCCTGCCCGAATTTCGCGTGCCATCGGCTCATAAAGCGGCCGAGGCGGGGGAGGTTCACCATCCTCCCAGGCAGGGTCCATGGGCTTGGAGGGGCTTAGGGTTTAGGGTTTAGGGTTTAGGCTTTAGGGTTTAGGGTTTAGGGTATTGGGGTTAAGGGTTCAAGCTTAGGGCAGGAGGGCCTGTGGTGGGCTTGGGGCTGTCTGGTGGTGGTGGCGCGGTGATTTCACCGCTGAAAAGCAGCAAATGCCTGCCTGAAGATCTTGACGGATCGTATGAGACCTTGGCCCGCAACACACTTCCGTGAGAATCCAAGCTCACCTTGCAGTAGTAGGGGATGAATGAGGTACCCTTGTACGTTATGTTCCTATATCTCCTTATCAAACCTTTTAAGAGGGATTCTATGAGGGGTGGCTACTTGGGTAGGCAACTTGGACTGATGACTCCACAAGTCATGTCGTCTGGGCGTTTTCAGGCCAAGGGGCCGAGGATCTGCCACTGGTCGAACTGCTTGTCTCCCTGGGCAGACTTCACTTGCAGATATCCACAAGGGTTTAGGATTTAGGGTTTGGGGTTTGGGTTTAGGGTTTAGGGTCTAGGGTCTAGGGTCTAGGGTCTAGGGTCTTGGGTCTAGGGTCTAGGGTTTAGGGCTTAGGGTTTAGGGTTTAGGGTTTGGGGTTTAGGGTTTAGGGTTTAGGGTTTGGGGTTTAGGGTTTAGGTTAGGGTTTAGGGCTTAGCGTCTCCCAACTAAGGCCACCTCTAACCCCCTAGACTCTCAGGTCGGCGCCGTGACCTCCCGGACCCAGAAGGGCGTGATGCTGGCCAGGTCCAGCCAGAACCTCAGAGAAACAGAGAGAAACCCTAAACCCTAAACCCTAAACCCTAAACCCTAAACCCTAAACCCTAAACCCTAAACGAGAGAGACAGGGGGAGAGAGAGAGAGAGAGAGAGAGATGGGGAGAGAGAGAGAGAGACAGAAGCTTGGGGTTTAGAGAAGCAAGAGGGAGAAGAGAGGAAGAGAGAAAGAGAGACAGAAAGAGCGAGAAACAGAAAAGAGAGAGGGCAAGGAGAACGCCCCTGAAAGCACGTCAGAATGAAAACGAAACAAACTTCTTCAAATACATACCCTAAACCCTAAACCCTAAACCCTGAACCCTAAACCCTGAACCCTGAGGCCTTGCGCCAAGCCACCACCCGAAGGTGTCACCCATGCCGAGGTAGGCTTTCGCAATCGTGCAGGGGTCTCTTTGCCAGGGGCCGCGGGACCTTCGGCCCGAGAGAAGAGAAGTCAGGTTTAGGGTTCAGGGTGAGGGATTCAAGGTTCAGGGTTCAGGGCTTAGGGTTTCAGGGTTTTAGGGCTCAGGGTTCAGGGTTTAGGGTTTCAGGCTTCAGGGTTCAGGGTTTAGGGTTTAGGGTTTAGGGTTTAGGGTTTGGGGTTTGGGGTTTGGGGTTTCGGGTTTAGGGTTTTTGGGGTTTAGGGTTTAGGGTTTAGGGCTAACAGATCTCGAAAAGGTGTTCAGGGTTTCAGGCTTCTTGGGGTTCCAGGGCTGAGGGTGTGCACCCCCCCCGTCTTGGGCCCTGCACTTACACTCCCAGGAGTACCCTAAACCCTGAACCCTAAACCCTAAACCCTGAACCCTAAACCCTAAACCCTAAACTGCTCCCCGCGCTCCGCAAGCTCTAAGAAGCCCGGCAGATCACTCTGCGGATTGGCGTAGGCGATGAAGAACTGCAGGAAGATGTCCTGTGAAATCCCTAAACCCTAAACCCTAACCCCTAAACCCTAAGCCCTAAACCCTAGACCCTAAGCCCTAAACCCTAAACCCTAAACCCTAAATCCCCGTGAACACTCCCGTCCCTGAGCCCTAAGAAGCCCTGGGTTGAAAGACTTTGCGGGGGCAGCGTTGGCCCCCACGTGGCATCAAGTGCAGCCAATGGGGAACTTCCCCCAAAACATCGGGTTTAGGGTTTAGGGTTTAAACCCTAGGGTTTAGGGTTTAGGGTTTAGGGTTTAGGGTTTAGGGTTTAGGGTTTAGGGTTTAGGGTTGAGGGTTGAGGGTTGAGGGTTGAGGGTTGAGGGTTGAGGGTTGAGGGTTGAGGGTTGAGGGTTGAGGGGTGAGGGTTGAGGGTGAGGGTTGAGGGTTGAGGGGTTGAGGGTTGAGGGTTGAGGGTTTGAGGGTGAGGGGACTGGGAGGGAGTCCTAGCAGAGGGATATAGAATGTTTTTTTGGCGGGGGGGGGGGGGGGGTTATATGGAGGGTACCCCGTTCTGGGAAAAGTAACATGCATCAAAGGCGCCAGGCTGAAGCACATGTTCGCCAACACGGAGATGGTCCTTCGGCTGCACCCGGGCTGACACGGACCACGAAGCTGCTACTTGAAGATTTAGGGTTTAGGGTTTAGGGTTTAGGGTTTAGGGTTTAGGGTTTAGGGTTTAGGGTTTAGGGTTTAGGGTTTATTGGTTCATTGGGTCATGGGTACATACTACAAGTAGGGTTGCGGAACTCTGTCAATCTGGGCCTCTTGACTCAACAACCATCTCGCAAAAACCCTTCTAAAGTGCTGCACTCTCGGCTTGTTCTGGTTTGAAGTGTTTGGGGCTTCTTGGGTGGCATGGAACCCTAAACCCTAAACCCTAAACATCGGCCCTCAGGAGAGCGCACCGGCTTTTAAGCATTTTCAAGAAGCAGAAACAACATGCAACATAAAAAGTGTGATAACAAAAGTTGTTAACAAAAGTACAGGTCCCAGATGATTGTTTCTTTAATCAATTTCGATTTTTTCGCTCATATGCATTGGCTCAGTTGGTGTAGCAAGCATCCCCCCGTGATCTCCTTCTGAGTTGCCGAGTTCATAGGCCCCCCCCCCAAAAGGGTACGCTTTCAGTCCTTTTGGGGGATTGTAGTATCCCAAAACGAGTAAAAAAGTGTACTCATTCGGCAACTTAAGACTACTATTTGCTCAAGAACCGTGAAAGAACAAAAAAATCAATTATTCCCCTATATTACCCTTACAAGGAAGAATATGCTATGTATATATATATATATATATTTTTTTTTTTTTTTTGTTCATTTTTTTTGGGGGGGGGTTCTTAAGCAATTTCTAGAAGAGGGTTGAGGCTTTTCAGATTCCTCCCCCATCAGACGTGGCACCGTGGAAGCTGAAAGGGATGATGGCTTGGCGTTTGGGGGGGTTTAGGCTTGTGGGAACTGACCAAACCCTACTTAAACCCTAAACCCTCAACCCTCAACCTAAACCCTAAACCCTCAAACCCTAAACCCTCAAACCCTAAACCCGAAACCCTAAACTCGGGATGTTTCTTCTGCACAGGGCCTGATGGTCCGATGCACCGGTGGGCGGGTCGTGTCGATGACCTGTTCGAGAGCTGTGGGAGCTCTGCTTGCAGGCTCATGGGCACTGACAAACAGGTTTCGGGTTTAGGGTTTAGGGTTTAGGGTTAGGGTTTAGGGTTTAGGGTTTAGGGTTTAGGGTTTAGGGTTTAGGGTTTAGGGTTTAGGGTTTAGGGTTTAGGGTTTAGGGTTTAGGGTTTAGGGTTTAGGGTTTAGGGTTTAGGGTTTAGGGTTTAGGGTTTAGGGTTTAGGGTTTAGGGTTTAGGGTTTAGGGTTTAGACGTACCCGAAGCAAGGTGATAACCAGAAAAGCCCTACTTACAAGTACCGATGAACCTCCAAGTGCCCTTCTCAGGTCCCCAGAAGCTCCGGGATTCTCCTCTTCAGCCTCTGAAGCAAAAATGTCCTCAGCCTCAGTCCACCCTCCCTGCGCCTGGACGAGCGGGAGGTAGTACCTTTGGGTTTAGGGTGTAGGGTTGGGGTTTAGGGTGTAGGGCTTAGGAACTTTGATGTTCGCCCCTGCCAGGGTTACTGGACATCACCCCTGATGCGATGATGGGACCTGATCATGACCCGCGACTCATACTAAGTAATTAGGGTTTTAATTCCTTGTAATCCCCAAAAGGACACCAAGTATATACACTCGCCAATGTTAAAAAGGAACCTTTAAAACAAAAACACACACACACACACACACCCCATAACAGTAACATAAACCCTGTTTCATACAGCCCTCACCTGTCAAAGCCCAAGCTGCGCCATGAAGAACAGGAGCATGGTCACCCAGAGGTCCCAGACCTGAGTGGGGGGGGGGGGGGGGGGGACCCCTGAATGCCCTTCTTAAGAAGCGCTCAGGAAATGTGAATATAACGATGTAAACATACGGAAAGTCAGGAAATTCATGAGAATCATAATACGAAAAGAAGAAGACTGGAAATGATAAAAATCAGAACAAACATAAACATATATATATATATTATATACATATATGACCATCGGTGAAAGCCTCTTCTGCGGCCTCAGAGGGTTCTCATACTATGGTATATTACTTTGTCCCTTTTTTTCAAGGTAACTATGTTGTTGGTTTCGATTGCCATGATAATCAGGATGGGTTTTCTGATTGCTTGGGAGCTTCTGGCGGCAAGCGATGGTGCCGCTTGGAGAGAGCTTCGTGATGTTCTCTTGGCCCCCAAGTTTGGCACATGGACTTGGACTGATTGGGACCCCTGCTTACAGCTATATCATTCAGCTCGTCCTTAGGATTACAGCATATCAAATGCAAGATTTCCCCAAATACAGTGCTCCTGAACACCTAACACCAACACCCTAAACCTGGAACCAACAACCCGGAACCCTAAACCCTAACCCTAAACCCTAAACCCTAAACCCGAAGGTGGGCGTGAGCATGCGACATGCGAAGACGTGGAGGAAGCCAAGCCACCTCCACCCAGTGGACGTAGCCTTTCGCCTGTCCGCAGAGCCGGAGGCTCCAGGAGAATTGTGCAGGGTTCAATGTGTAGGGTTTAGGGTTTAGGGTTCAGGGTTCAGGGTTTAGGGTTTAGGGTTTAGGGTTTAGGGTTTAGGGTTTAGGGTTTGGGGTTTGGGGTTTGGGGCTTAGGGTTTAGGGTTTAGGGTTTAGGGTTTAGGGTTTGGGGTTTAGGGCTTAGGGCTTAGGGCTTAGGGTTTAGGGTTTAGGGTTTTGGGTTTGGGGTTTTGGGTTTAGGGCTTAGGGTTTAGGGTGTAGGGTTTAGGGTAGGGTTAGGGTGTAGGTTTGGGCAGGGTTTAGGGCTTAGGGTTTAGGGGTTAGGGTTTAGGGTTTGGGGTTTAGGGTTTGGGTTTAGGGTTTAGGGTTTAGGTTTAGGGTTTAGGGTTTATGGGGTAGGGTTTAGGGTTTAGGGTTTAGGGTTAGGGTTTAGGGTTTAGGGGTTTAGGGTTTAGGGTTTAGGGTTTAGGGTTTAGGGTTTAGGGTTTAGGGTTTAGGGTTTAGGGTTTAGGGTTTAGGGTTTAGGGTTTAGGGTTTAGGGTTGAAGATTCATGGCCACTTAGAAGTAGGGTTCGAGGTACCCCCACGGCCCGACGAAAGTTACAACCGATAAGAACTAGAGATACTCCGAGTTACTCGCCTTATACCCCCCTAACCTCCAAGCCCTAAACCCTAGACCCTAAACACTCTTTTCAGTATAGTATTTAAACCCTATAGTCTTCGTGGGCAATGATCATTTTTCGTGGGCAGTGGTCATTCTTCGTGGGCAATGACCATTTTTCGTGGGCAAAGGTCATTTGTTCGTGGGCAATGGTCATTTCTTCATGGGCAATAGTCATTTTTCGTGGGCAATGGTCATTTCTTCGTGGGCAATGATCATTTTTCGTGGGCAAAGGTCATTTGTTCGTGGGCAATGGTCACTTTTCGTGGGCAATGGTCATTTCTTCGTGGGCAATGATCATTTTCGTGGGCAAAGGTCATTTGTTCGTGGGCAATGGTCATTCTTCGTGGGCAATGGTCACTTTTCGTGGGCAATGGTCATTTCTCGTGGGCAATGGTCATTTTTCGTGGGCAATGGTCATTTTTCGTGGGCAATGGTCACTTTTGGGGGGCAATGGTAATTTGTTGTGGGCAATGGTCATTTTTCGTGGGCCATGGTCACGGGCCAACCCCCCCCCCCCCCCGCCCCCCTCCCCCCTCTTCCCCCTCTCCCCCCCCCTCCCCCGCTCCTTACCCGACCCGACCCCTCTCCACCCGCAAGCAGTGTCCCCGATTTTTTGGTGGCCCCGAAACAAAAACAGCTGCAAGTCTAATAACTTGTGTTTAACTTGCAGCTGTTTTTGGTTTCGGGGCCACCAAAAAAATATGAAATCCGCCGAGGCCTCAGGCCGAAGCGACGGTGTATAGGTTGTCAGAACAGCCCTTTTTTTGACCACAATCTGAAAGCGGACGGTTCGCCAGGACCAGGGCAGTTGAAGCCCCTAGCAGGCCCCACCCCTCGTTTCTGCCCCCCACCCCCCCTGCCCGCTTCCCCCACCCGCCCCCCCCCACCCCCCCGCCCCCGACCCCGCCCCCCAAAAACCCTAAACCCAAACCGTGAACCTTGAGCCCTACGCCCTCAACCTAAACTACTCCTCAACCCTAAACCCCAAACCCTGAACCATAAACCCGGAACCCTAAACCCAACCCTTATTGCTTGGGGTCCAGCGACTTGGGCGCTGCGGAATCACCATGCTCACGCGGATGCGCTGGGCCGGGCCGAGGCGGGTCGCGTAGCATTTAACATTCCATGTTCGGATGTGGTGGGATTCTTTGGGCGGGTGGGTGTTGGTCGAGAGAATGGCTGGACTAGACTCTTCACGCTCAGAACTGCTGAACCCTAAACCCTAAACCCTATAAACCTAAACCCTAAACCCTAAACCCTAAACCCTAAACCCTAAACCCTAAACCCTAAACCCTAAACCCTAAACCCTAAACCCTAAACCCTAAACCCTAACCCCAGGGTTTCAAGCTCGAGGACTTGGCAGCTCTCGAAGCCCCAACCCCTTCTAGCCTTCTGGTGCTCCCCGAGCTCCGGAACCACCACGAAGCGCGAGAAGAGCTGCTTGCCTCAAAAGGGGTTTAGGGTTTAGGGTTTCGGGTTTCGGGTTTGGGGTTTGGGGTTTGGGGTTTAGGGTTTAGGGTTTAGGGTTTAGGGCTTAGGGTTTATAATCCATATGGGTGGTTGTCCAAATTATGATCCCTTTTGGGCCCTTTTGGGGGTACCCTAAATAGCAGGTGCCGCAGTATAATAGGGAGCCAAAAAAGGACCCTAAATTTTGACAACCACTCAAATATAAACCCAGTATATACCTTATATAGTCCCAGAAGAGCTGCGTGCCTGGCTCTGGCGCTTCAGGAGCCCCCCCAAACTACTCCTGTTCAAAATCAATTTAGGGTTTAGGGTTTGGGGTTTAGGGTTTAGGGTTTAGGGCTTAGGGTTTAGGGTTTTTAGGGTTTAGGGTCCCAAAAAGTGTTTAGCGAAAGTTTCTTTTTGGAACCTAATTTCTATTTCTTTGGGGCCGCGGGCCTTGGCTGGCCTCCTGGGACTCTTTGGGGGGAGGGGGGGGGGGGGCCAGAGGTTTTAGTAAACTGAGCATTTGGCCTCCCAGGCGCTGTGGATGAATGTACTTAAACTCTGCTTGTCAGCTGTTTAGACAAATAACCTGCGAAAATTCAGAATGATGCCAGATACAAGTTCTATCAAGTTGTCTTGAGGGCTTAGGGTTTAGGGTAGGGTTTAGGGTTAGGTTTTAGGGTTTAGGGTTTAGGGTTTAGGGTTTAGGGGTTAGGGTTTTTAGGGTTTAGGGTTTAGGGTTTAGGGTTTAGGGTTTGGGGTTTAGGGTTTAGGGTTTAGGGTTTAGGGTTTAGGGTTTAGGGTTTAGGGTTTAGGGTGCATTCCTAAAAAACACCCCCTCCTTGAAGAGAGCTAACAGCCGCCCGCAAAGAAAGAGAAGCAGACAACAAAACGAAGCCCGAACCCCCAAACCCCAAAGCCAGAACCATGAGCGCCAAACCCCAAACCCCAAACCCCAAAGCCCAAAGCCTAAACCCCAAACCCCAAACCCTAAACCCTAAACCCTAAACCCCAAACCCTAAACCCTAAACCCGAAAAAGCACACACATCCAAAACGCTGGGTCGAGTTGCAACATTGGGCGGAGGCATCCCCAGCTTCCACCTCCGCCTCGTGGCTTTCCCTGGTCGAAGAGAGCTTGGGCTTTTTTGGGGAGTTTAGGGTTTAGGGTTTAGGGTTTAGGGTTTAGGGTTTAGGGTTTAGGGTTTAGGGTTTAGGGTTTAGGGTTTAGGGGTTAGGGTTTAGGGGTTAGGGTTTGGGGTCCCGGGCCCACAGGGTTCTTGAGGTTTGGGGTTAGGGTTTCTGGGCTTAGGGTTTAGGGATCTTGGGTTTAGGGCATGGTTTTGAAGGCTTAGGGTTGTTGAAGTTTCCAGTTTCGGGTTCGGGGCTTAGGGTTTCGGGTTTGAGGCTTGGGATTGGGATTTAGGGTTTAGGGTCTGAGATCTCGGGGCTTGGGGTTTAGAGCTGTAGCCTCAGCCGGTTTCAGGTAGCTTCCCCCCATAGACCCCTTCCATATCGAACCCTTCTGTAGGGGTTCTTCTCTCTGTTTTCGAGAAGGAATCCTAACGGAGCTTTGTACCACACAATCCTGCGTAAGATCAAGCAAGATATGATTCTGCATGAATATCGCTATCTGTACAAGCTTGTACTGGTATCTATGTTAAAGTGCGCTGATGTGTGCACTATATTTCTGAAACTTATAACTTATGTTTTTTGCTCGTGTATGGATATCGCTCTTCTAGGGTACATTTCTATGTCTGTGGTGCACACATGCCCAAGCATCAACCATCCCAAGCCCAACCCAGCATTTCGTCGAAGCCTTTGAAACTGCTAGAGCTGCCAAAGCAGTGAACGGACGCGGGCAGCGGGCCTGATAGAAGCCTGCGCGATGTTGAAGTTGCCTCGGGGCTTTTTTTCGACTTGGAGCCGGTAGATCTATGGACACCCTACAGAAGCCCCCTCCTTCCAGGCTTCAAAAGGGTGGAGGTGTAATCCCTAGACATAGTGGAGGAACCGCACTGAAGTCCCGCGAAGCTCCTGCAGCCTTGAGGTCCCTCAAAAGACAGCTCATGGCTTGGCCGTAACACCGAAATCTTCGTTGCTGAGATCAGAAGCCCCCCAAAAAGTGTACACTTTCAGTTCTGTAGGGGATTCTGGTATCCCCAAAAGTGTAAAGTGTACTCACTCTCAGCTACTAAGAAATAGCGGGAGTACCACCTGAGCCGTTAAACGCAGCAACGTCAACGATCGCGACCGTCGCGCTTAAAGAAACAATGGTAGTTCTCCGACTCGTTGCGAGCTCAGCAAGAAGCTGAGTGATCCTGCTGATACCAATTTTCCCAGAGACTCCAAAACCCCTTAGTTAAGGAATATCCCTTAAATTGTAATAGGAACCCTAATATGATTTAAGGCAGATTCCTTAACTAAGGGGTTTTGGAGTTTCTGGGTTATTCGTAGCAAAGACCATGGTAGATCCTTAGGCCAAGTGGCAGCTGACGATGGGGCTCCGCTGACCCAAGATCCGCTTCATGTCACGGGAAAGTCGATCCTGGGAAGGTGGCCCAGGGCATATTTTGGGGGGGGTAGTAGGGTTACAGGGTCCAGGGTTCAGGGTTTAGGGTTCAGGGTTTAGGGTTTAGGGTTCAGGGTTTAGGGTTTAGGGTTTAGGGCTCAGGGTTGCGGATCTGGGGATGGTGGGGGGGCGGGTTTCACAAAGAGAGGCCCTGACCCCTGACGATTTCCCTGCACCCTCAAACCTCCGCAGGTCCAACATAAGCACAGGGGCATGCGTGATCGGTGGCACCGGCCGCCCCTCTTCCTTGGCTTCTGCTTTTGGCACTGGACCAGAAACGGCCGAACTTCTTAAAAAGGGCGTGGTTGCTTCTCCGTGGGCTTTAAGAGGGTGGAGGGCGCCCCTTTCGCCTCCCTAACCCCCACAGAAAGAGGCCCCTCTGTTTTTTTTTGGGGGGGAGTCAATTAACCCTAAACCCTAAACCCTAAACCCTAAACCCTAAACCTTAAGCCACCAAAGGGCTGCTTCCAGGTGGGCCTCATCCTCCTCGTACTCCTCGTGCAGTCGGTAGGAGGTCGTACCCCTCTCGGCATCGAAGGACACCTGGGTGCAAAGGATAGGGTTTAGGGTTTAGAGTTTAGGGTTTAGGGTTTAGGGTTTAGGGTTTAGGGTTTGGGGTTTAGGGTTTAGGGTTTAGGGTTTCCGGATTTCCGGAAGCGCGCCTGAGCCGAAACTTCCCCGAGCCCCACTGCGCTCTGCTAGGTTCCCGAGCCCTCTTGCGCGCCTCTCAATGCCCTTTCAAAGCCCTTTTGAAAGCCCACCCTAAACCCTAAACCCTAAATCCTAAACCCCAAACTTTTCAAAGTCCTTTCAAAGCCCTTATGAAAGCCCTTTCAAATTGCAGCTCAGGGAAGTGGGCTGCGCACCTCCTTCATCATCTTGCCCGAGACGGACTTGGCGGAAAAGAACACTATCGGAGGCCACCCGAGGTGGGGTGAGGGATGTTCCCGATGGGTTTAGAGTAACCCTAAACCCTAAACCCTAAACCTTAGGCCCTAAACCCTAAACCCTAAACCCTGAACCCTAAACCCTAAACCCTAAATCCTAAACCCTAAACCCTAAATCCTAAACCCTGAACCCTGAACCCTGAACCCTGAACCCTACCCAAGAGCTAAACCCTGCCATTCACGCCAACAGCTCGGGCTTGAGGGCTTCAGGCTTTAGAGGGTGTTAAGGGGGTTCAAAGGTTTAGGTTTTAGGGTTTGGGGTTTGAAGGTTTGGGGAGAGTTTAGGGTTTGAGGGTTCAGGGGTTTTAAGGGTTTAGGGTTGGAGGGTTTCAGGGCTCCAGGGGCTTGTCAAGGGCCTCCAAAGCGCCCGAGATCCCTGAAGAGGGATACTCACACCCCTAAACTCTAAAACCCCCAAAAAAACGAAAACCTGAAACACTAAAGCTCCTAAACCCCAAAAAAAGATTTTAAAAAAACAAAACTCCCCCTCCTTGTAAAAGCCCTGCTCAGCCGAAACGCCATCTCTCTGCTGCTCGTCGTGGGCATCGGCAGAAAACTCTCCTCCTCGCCATGGCGTTTTGTCCTGTCGCTTGGGCTCTGCGGCCTTTTCGGGTTTAGGGTTTAGGGTTTAGGGTTTAGGGTTTAGGGTTTAGGGTTTAGTGTTTAGGGTCCAGGGTTTCGGGTTTAGGTTCCTCGGCCCAAGAGTAGCCTAGGAATGAAAAAAAGGGCACCCAGCTTTTGGTTTCAGAGGGCCCCTTATAAGGGAGCCGCAACCCTAAAAGAAGTGGCTTGGTCGAATTTAGGGCATGGGGTTTCAGAACGGGGCGCTGTGGCGGCTTTTATGAGTGATTAGACGATTGCGATCTTTCGATACCGTTCCTTTATGCCAGACATATAGACTTAACAGACGTGTATGTGTGTATCTACATACATACTTACATACATACATACATACATACATACATACATACATACTAGACAAACACATGTTCATTCACTCCATCTTGAAAATCGTGTTGATGTTCATATATCTATATTTACATATTGCATTTGTTCATATTCATAATTGCGTCTTGTTCTATATTCACTTGGGTATACTCATATCTATGCCTATACTTACTCATACATTCGTCTCTGCATTCATACTTATAACCCTATCTATAGCTATACTTGTATGGTTTTTCAACGCTCTAACGCCACCCTCAACATAAATGGGGCCACCAGGGGGCCCCCGCCCCCGCCCCCCCCTCCACCCCCGCTTCCGAAAGGATTTAGTCCAGTGTTGGGGGATGCAAAGCCCGAGAATCTGAAAAATAAATCAAGAATTTCCAACAAAAACATATATATATATATAATAATAACAATAATAATAATAATAATAGCTAATACTAATACAAATTCCAAAAAACAATACTAATCATAATGAAGATATTATTAAGAAAGTCCTGAACAGGAAGTTGAACATGGTCAGGCAGTGATGGACAAGGCGCCAGGCACATTGCAAAGGCTTTGGCAACTGCTACTGGGGCCAGGGCGTTTAGGGCTTAGGGCTTAGGGTTTAGGGTTTAGGGTTTAGGGTTTAGGGTTTAGGGTCTGCAAATCTTGGGGTGCGGGGTGTTGGGGTTTGAAGTTTATGGAATCAGGGTTCAAGGGCTGCAGGCCCTTGGGTTCATCTCCGTGGGCTTTTTAAGGGAGGTTCAGGGTCTTTTTCAGCTGCTTCGGGTTTTTGGGGACGAGGCTCCCCTCCTTAAATGGAGCCAGTGATCCTTTGAGCCTACTTTGCAGATGAGGGCTTCAAAGGCTGGCCGCTTATGGGCATCTACTACTGGGCTGGAGCCGTGCAGACGCGCGAGACGCAGATTTGGCAGTACCCCTCCCAGCACGCCTCATGCCACCTACAGTCTCAACCCCCAAAGTGGGTTTTGGGGTTTTTAGGGCTTTTAGGGCTGAGGGTTTGGGGTTTGGGGTTGGGTGCATGCCTAGAATATGCTGTTGCGCCCATCCGCTCTGTGTATACGACTCTCACACCCCCGATCTTCTCAGATTCAACAAACCTCCCGCTAAACCCTAAACCCTAATCCCTAAACCCTAAACCCTAAACCCCAAACCCTAAACCCCAAACCCTAAACCCCAAACCCTAAACCCCAAACCCTAAACCCTAAACCCGAATCCCTAAACCCTTCAACCCAAACCTGGGCCTGGGGACTGAAGCCCCCCGAATGCACAAACCCGCCCCGGACGAGGTGGTGCCCCCACAACATTATATACCCCCTGGTTCTTCGTAGGGAATGAGGGAAGTCGGGGCCCTATATGTATATATATATATATATATACCCTTACAGTGAATACACCCTTTAAGGGACGAAAACAGGAGAGAGAGAGAGAGAGGGAGAGAGAGAGAGAGAGAGAGAAAGGGAAAGAGAGAGAGAGAGAGAGAATAAGGAAACAAAAACGGAAATCTCTTGCTGGGGGAGGGCTCTGATCTCTCGAAGCGCTCCTTGTTGAGGCTTAGGAGGGTCTGGTTTAGGGTTTGGGGTTTAGGGTTCAGGGGTTGAGGCTTTGGGGGCTTTGGTGTTTCTTAAACTGGGCCCCTGATTTACTATCCTAGCAGTGCAGGGTGCAGGGTGTAGGGTTTAGGGTGTAGGGTTTAGGGTTTAGGGTTTATGGACAAAAATTCCTCACAAAAAAGTGCGGGTCCTTTGCGGGTGCCCTAGACGCCAGCCTTGTGGCCTGCGAACTAACAGTCATGCGCAGAAACTGCAGTATTGAAAGCTGTTCCGGGGGTTTGAGGGTTTAGGGTTTTAGGGGGCCTTTGGGGTTCAGGGATTTGGCGGTTTAGCTTAACACCCTCCATCTTTTCCGCGAGCAAGCCGCGTCTGCGAAGGCCGGAGCCAAAAAAAACAGCGGACCGCCGCCGAAACCCCAACCTTTTCGTTTCCCGAAACTTCTATTGCCGAACCTTGCTGGCGGCTGAGACCTGTAGAAGTACGGTTCGAACTGGGCTCCTTTCAATGAAGTACCCCTGGTAGGACGCGCCGTCACGCCTCTAAGCCTCCCCTCGAAGATCTTGAGGTGCCTACCCTAAACCCTAAACCCTAAACCCTAAGCCCTTAAGGACATGCCTTCAAGCCGGGGAATCTCGGTGCTGGGTCCCTGTGAGACTTCCAGAACTGTGGACAGCCAAGACCGCAGGTCTCTCTCTTAGGTCGTGCCAAGTCCCATGTACAACTCAGGTTGGGGGTTTAGGGTTTAGGGTTTAGGGTTTAGGGTTCAGGGTTTAGGGTTTAGGGTTTAGGGTTTAGGGTTTAGGGTTTAGGGTTTAGGGTTTAGGGTCTAGGGTTTAGGGTTTAGGGTTTGGGGTTTGGGGTTTGGTGTTTAGGGTTTGGGGTTTAGGGTTTAGGGTACAACTCATGCACCTGAGTCGTGCGCTACCCTGGAGCACAGAAATACCTGGGCTCGGATGCAATGGCTGTCCACCGAATCATAACAGTGCCAAAGGATTTACCGCAGCGGGGTGGTTAAGGGTTGAGGGGTTTAGGGGTTTAGGGGTTCAGGGGTTTAGGGTTTTTCAGGGTGGAAGGCTTAAGGGTCAGCTCCAGGCCCGTAGTGCATTTCTTCTCCTCTCTTTCAAGAATGGACCCTCCAACCTGCGTTTTTGGCCTCTGCTTTAGTTTTAGGGTTTAGGGTTTAGGGTCTAGGGTTTGGGGTTTAGGGTTTAGGGTTCAGGGGTTCAGGGGTTCACCTGAAGGCGGTGCGTCAGCTTCCGCACTCAGCTCGTGGGAGCGCGCAGCGCCTGCAGCAGGTGGTCCGGCGCCGACATCTCGAGAGCTATCTCCTGGACTAACCCTAAACCCTAAACCCTAAACCCTAAACCATGCTTGAAGGTTCTCGGCCTGGAGGTTCATGGGTACTTGCAAGTAGGGCTTAGGGTTCAGGGTTGAGGTGCGGGGTTTAGGGGTACTTAGAAGTGGGGTTACAAGCTGGTAAAAACCATAGCTTCCCCAGTCGTATCCCTACTTGCACGTACCCATGGACCTTCAAGTATGGGGGGTTGCCGAAAATCGGGGTACCCTTTTGGGGTTCCTAGCATAAGGATAATACTATTTTGGGGTCTATTCATGATACCCCCTATTTTTGGACAATCAGAGTAGTTCTCTACCTTCTAACAAGGAGGTGTAGGGTGAGGGTTTAGGGGGTTAGGGTTTAGGGTTTACGGTTTAGGGTTTAGGGTTTAGGGTTTAGGGTTTAGGGTTTAATTAGAGAACTGCCCATGAATTCTGTTGGGCAGACTCACCAACTCTGGGCATGGCGCAGGTCAAGCGACCATGAGGCGACATGCGCATCAAGGGTTCATGGATCCCTGCGAAGAAGGGGGTTTAGGGTTTAGGGTTTAGGGTTTAGGGTTTAGGGTTTAGGGTTTGGGGTTTGGGGTTTGGGGTTTAGGGTTTAGGGTTATACAAGTACCTTCAACAAGGACCTAACATGTTCTAACCGCAGTTGTCCTGCTTGCAGCCCTACTTTTAGGTACCCATGAACCTCCAAGTCAACAACCCCAAACCCTAAGCCATACCCTAAACCCCAAACCCCACACCCGAAACCCTAAACTCCCCAAACCCTAAACTTTAAACCCTAAACCCTAAACCCTAAACCCTAAACCCTAGACCCTAAACCCTAAACCCTAAACCCTCTTGTCCTCCACGTTCTTACCGCGGTCGTTCCGGACCCCGGGCACGGCCCCAGCAGCGAGAAGTGCGGCGGTGGCCTCTTTGTGGCTTCAGAGGGTCCCAGGGGAGCCTTGCTGAGCCTTCTTCAGGGGTGCAGGGGGTTTAGGGTTTAGGGTTTAGGGTTTAGGGTTTAGGGTTTAGGGTTTAGGGTTTAGGGTTTAGGGTTTAGGGTTTCCTTCTTCAGGGGTGCAGGGGGTTTAGGGTTTCTACGTTCAATATGACAAGTAACTTCTGCCTCCGTTTTGCCACTGACAGGTGGATATATTACAGCATCGCCATGCCTTTGCTGGGTTTTCGGTTCGCAGCAGTGTGGTCAATAACTCCAGGGCTTCAGGATCGAGATCTCACCTTACAGCAGAATGCAGTACTTAGCAGCAAACTGCAGACTCTTCTCCTTCCGCAAGTCGGAAGATTCTCCGGGCTTGGACTGCGAAGAAAAACTGTATTGTGGGAATGTAAAGCCCTGCAGCCCTCAGTCGTACAAGGCACCCGAAGCAGAGCAGTCAGAGCGGGTAGGACCACTGCAGCATGCGGAGTCGCCTCATATCTCCGGAGCCCCAAAATGAAAACGAGTTTCCCTGTAGTCGCCGGACATTCCGCAGGTAAAGAAGGTCTGCGTGCTCCCTGACAGGATCCCACGTGGCCACTCGCACTCGATGTAACTGGGCTCAAACTCGAGGGGGATCTCTCGGAGGACGTGTTGTGTCTGCCACTCGATCAGCTGCATGTTCTCATAGAACGCGTCCTCGCCCGAATGGAGCCCTGCGAACAGCATGAGCTGGTCCCCAAGGCTCTGGCACCTGTTGTTGATACAGCCTTTGGCTCTCCAGGTGGCCAACTGCTTAGGCTCACCTCCGTCCTGCAGCTCACAAACTTCGAAGTTGAACACCTCGCCATAAAGCTGCTCGAGATCCTCATCTTGGGTTGCACAAACCCTGGCCACCAGCTGGCCACAGCGATCGACACCCGGAACCTCAACGTACGGGGGACGGGTGAACCCTCCTGCTTGGCCATCGGAGTGGTCACCCTCCTGCCAGTCAAACTTGCGCAGGGCCGGAACATAACCCTCCATTCGGTGATCCATCCCGTCGGTCACGGCTGGGAACTTGAACTTGAAGGGAACGGGAGGACCTTCCGGCTGGAAGTGCGCCGCGCAGAGATCATCCGCATCGACGCCGCAGAGGCGGAACTTCTGCAGCACCCCATCCTTCATGCCCTCCATGGCTTCGCCCGAACGCCCCGGAGCCGTTAGCACGGTGGCAAGCTGATCTTGGAAGTGAAAGGCATGGATGGCCTGTCCATCCGGCACGGGCAAAGGGACCCGCCTCGCGCTGACGTAGCCGCTGCCCGCCTGCACCGACCCCTGCAGCGCAAAGGGCTCGTTGGCGCCGATCAGCCAGATGTCCGACGGCTCGAAACGCTTGACCTCGTACTTGCCAATGTGGTCCTTGCAGGCAGATTCGTCAAGATGTTCATTGTACCAGCGCCAGGCAGGCCGGGTAGGAAATGCCAAAAGGCGATCACGGCCCACTTGCTGCACGATGGCACCCTCACACAAAGGGCCCCCCACAGGAACCTGGATGGTGCTCCACACGATCTTGCTCTCACGCCAGAGTTCGAGGGCCGGGATCCTCACGACCTCCACCTCCCCACCACCACCGAGGCCCGAAGCTTCGAGAGTTTCGCTGTCGCGCAGCACCCGCGAGCCAGACATCAGGCGAAGGCCGCAGCGGAGCTCGGGCGGCCCACCGTAGCCAGCTGCCACGGCAGCACGGCGGAGGCTGGCCACGCGTTCCAAGGGTTCGATGGTACAATTGGCAATCTCTGCCCCGGAGCCGGCAGCTTTGAGGAGGATGTTGGGCATGGTCGCAAACGAGTGCTGCGAATGCGAGGACCATACACAACTTTACACAACTCCTGACTGATCAGCCAAACAGCTGCAGAAGCTGAGTTCACGAAGCCATACGCTGTCGATGCTGTGCAAGCGCAGACAAGACTCTCCCAGCATGGACCTGAACCCTAAACGCCCCCCCCCCCCCACAGCCCAAGCGAGTTGCTGCTCCTTAAAGGGATCATAGAAACCAACAATTCTTTCAACGATTTCTCCCCAAGTACCCCTAAAAAGAGAGTAGATTGATTGGGGGGGGGGGGGGGGGGGGGGGGGGGGGGCGGGGGGGGGGGCATGCCAGAGAGGTGTCTGGCGTCCCAGAAAACTAGGGGATAGGATTAGGGGGACCCCTTGGGGATATAGACCCTCTGAATAAGGTCCCCTTTTTTCAGAGAGCCAGAAGAGGGTTCAGAAGGGGTTCGTTAAGAAGGGGCTCCCTTTGAAGGGTCCCCCCTTCTCCTACCTAGGAGTTTAGGGTTTGGGGTTTTTGGGTTTTAGGGTTTAAGAAGGGGCTCCCTTTGAAGGGTCCCCCCTTATCCTACCTAGGAAAAACACATCCCCCCGAGGTCGGAGAGGCCTCAAAGGACGAGGTGAGGATGCTGCACCTCGATGAAAGCCCGGGATGGGTTTAAGGTCTGGTTCGTGCCTTATAGGGTTTAGGGTTTAGGGTTTAGGGTTTAGGGTTTAGGGTTTAGGGTTTGGGGTTTGGGGTTTGGGGTTTGGGGTTTAGGGTTTGGGGTTTGGGGTTTGGGGTTCTTAGGGTGTAGCACTGGTCAGCTGAACGCAAGAGCGTGAAGACATGCCCACCCCAAGACCACCCATTTTCCAACTCGCAGCAAACCAAACGGGAGCAAGCGCAAACCAAGCGACACCACTCAAAATCCACATGTGACACAGGGCTAAAACTTGACACATGGACCCTTCACATGCTTGGAGCGCTTGGGAGTCACGTGGAACACTCGAAACACATGGCCACCCCTCCCCTAGTTGCACTGGGGACGGTCTGGGCCCAAGGGCCCCTTCATTCATGTGGCCTGGTAGCCTTCCAAAGCTGGCAAACTGTTCGCCTATTCGAAAAAAGGTCTGGGGCGCCGGGGAGAAAGAGAGAGAGAGAGCGGTAATGGTAGCTTCCGGAGCGCGGTTTGAGCTCATTCACCAAGTTTGTTTACTCTTTCCGTACTACGGGCACACTTGTGGTGTCAGGGGACCTCCTCCCAAATCGCATCTCAAAACCGTGCACACCAAGGCACATCAGGGGAGTGGCGCCACTGTGATGGTAAGCATAGGTGCTCCTCAGCGGCGTTTAACTTAAACCCAAAGAAAGAAAAATGCCTAAAGTCATGAAAGAGTTGGTAAGACTTGTGTCACTATGAAATCACGAAATCACTTCACACTAGTGAAGCTGTCAATGAGATCCAATGATCCAACAGGAATTGCAAACAAACATTGTTCTGCTGAAGCTACAGGTTTTCAGCCCTCTCCCTGGCTTCTTCAGGGACTCAGGCGGGTTGTTCAGGGGGCTCAGGGAGGCCAGAGATACCCGCCCCCCCCCCCCCCCCCCCCCCCCCCCCCCGCAACTTTCGGCAACTCCCCACCCAAACTCCCCCCAAGCCCTGTAAACCCTATGAGCCCGCCGCCTCTAAACCCTTCGCGCCAGGCCACAGGGAAGAAGGGTTCCACCAGTGGCGCCAACTTAGCACCAGAAACCACAGCCCCAGTGGGGTGAACCTCGGTTGGATGCTTGGAGTTTAGGGTTTTGGGTCCAAGGGTTGAGGATAGGGCTGAGGGTCCAGGGTGGCGTCCTTCGCGAGCTTTGGGGAGGTGCCTGCTCGAGTTCTGAACTCCTGCACCCAAGCAAACCCTCAAAACCCTTGCCAGCCCTGAAGGGTTTAACCCGAAACCCTAAACCCTAAACCCTCAAACCCTAAACCCTCAACCCTAAACCCTCAACCCTCAACCCTAAACCCCCCGTCACTCAGCTTGGCCGCAGCGGGATGTTCAACTTTCGGTTCACGTCCGCCCGCGCACGAACCAAGGTTGTGACCACCTTGGGCGCATCGTCGGCGGGGGTTTTAGGGTTTTAGGGTTTCGGGTTTAGGGCTTGGGGCTTTTCAGGCCTTTTCAGGGTTCAGGGTTCTAACGGGGACTTTCCTTGCAGGGGTTTCAAAGGGTTTCTTGGGTGAGGTGTTAGAGTGGTTCTTGAACCGTTAAGCCCCCACAGACAACCAGCCCACCAAAACCCAAAGCAGCCCCCAAAGAACTGACTCCGGGGGGGGGGGGGGGGGGGGAGGGCGCCCCAAAACCTAAGGCCTAACCCCGAAACCCCAAAAACCCTAAACCCTAAACCCTGAACCCTAAGAACCCTGAACCCTGAACCTAAACCCTGAACCCTAAGAACCCTCAACCGGGTCTAAGCACTGATGGTTGGATGTTTGCAGCATTGTTCAAAAGGCCGGGCGGCCTCCTTCGAAGCCGCGCCGTGGAGCAACCTCGCTGGGAGGTGTCCCAACCCGAAACCCGAAACCCTGAACCCTGAACCCTAAACCCTAAACCCTAAACCCTAAACCCTAAACCCTAAACCCTAAACCCTAAACCCTAAACCCTAAACCTTCCCCCCGGACTTCTCAGGCTCTCTGCGCAACCTCAGGACTTAGGCTCCACCCCCCCGGCTCTCAGAAGAACATGCGGCGCCTGGCCCGGGCCTCGGATGCGAAAATCCCTCCTACCCTACCCGGGGACTCCAAAACCCTTTAATTAAGGAATATACCTTAAATCATATTAGGGTTCCTATTCTAATCTAGGGTATATTCCTTAATTTAAGGGGATTTGGAGTCTCTGGGTACTCTCTGAAATGCTAAAGCCCCCCCAAACCCCGGCGGAGAAGTCTCCCTAAACCCCCAACGCCCTAAACCCCCCCCCCCCCCAGCTTGACATCCTTGCATCCCAAGACGCCCAGCTTGCAGGCCCTCGGTCAACAAAGGCATTGGAACTCGGTGGAGGAGCTCCTTGAAGGCTTCAGGGAGCCCTAGAAGGGGGGAGGTTTGAGGCTTCAGGTGGGTTTTAGGGGGTTCAGGCTTTGAGGGTTTGGGGAAACGTCTCAGTAGGGCTTCTGGGGGGTTTGGGGGTTCCGGGATGTAGGGTTTGGGGAAACGCCTCAGGGTTTGAAAGGGGACTGTGTGCAAGAGACTAAGCTCGGCATGGCAATTCTTGAAGCACTAAACCGTGCCCAAGCCCCAAACCCTAGACCCTAGACCCTAGACCCTAGACCCTAAACCCTAAACCCTAAACCCTCCATCCTTGATGGCATCCAGCGAGCCGGCCGCACAAGCTGCCTCGAAGGCCACGTAGCCCAAGGAATCGGGGACTGCCTCGCGAATACCTTCGGCTGGAAAAGTTCGTCAGGGTTTAGGGTTTAGGGTTTAGGGTTTAGGGTTTAGGATTTGGGGGTTTAGAGGTTTAGGGGCTTAGGGGCTTAGGGGTTTAGGGGTTAGGGGTTTAGGGGTTTAGGGGTTCAGGGGTTCAGGGGTTAGGGGGTTTGGGGGTTCAGGGTTAGGGGGTTTGGGGGTTCAGGGGTTCAGGGGTTCAGGGGTTTAGGGGTTTAGGGGTTTAGGGCTTAGGGCACTTGTAACCCAATGATAGCTGTAGTCATCATCCGAGCAATGAGCCCCCCCCCCCCACCAGAAGTCATTCCTCCAAAAATGTGG